AAAGTAAATGATTAAAATACTTCAATATGTGAAATGGATCTAGACGGAGAAACTAAATCACTAATGTTGAACATTTGAAGATATGACAAGTTGATCCTTTTCTCGGTTGAATGCACTATATTGGTACCAAGAAAAGCAGAGTATGTAGTTGAGCAGCAAGGAAATCATGTTTGTGGTATGTATCAAGGGGCATGAGAGAGACTGTTATAATATTTCTATAGGTGACGAAACCTGCGAAGTACCAATGTAATACGAAAAATCCTCTTCCATTTTTTCGGCTGAGCAACATGACGCATGGGGATGTTCTCTGATGCTTCAGTTTCCATCTCATACATATGTTCTCTGACCACTCCATGTTCCACGGCTGGGTTACCACACCCATTAGTGAAGTACTGATAGAACATATGGAGTACTATACAAGCGTATGGTCACATGCCACCGGACGTGTCCGGTCGCAATTTCGCCACTCTAGAACCTCTCTGTACTCGATCGGACGCTGATGTCCTGCGTCCGGTCGATTTGCCGCCAGCGTTCGATCAATACCGAACGTGTTGCCGGGATGATGAATAGAACCATCGGTGCGTCTGGTTACTTGACTGTGCAGTGCCTGGTCGCTGCTGCTGATGCCTTCTATTGCCGAGCCTCTTGATCGGAGCGTCCAGTCACTATACGCCAGCATCCGGTCATCTCTGTGAGCTCGTTTCTTCACGATCTTGCATCTGGGTTGGTTCCTATCTTCATGCTTTGGACTTTACTTGATATCTTGGGTCTTCTCTTGTGCTTCTAAGGTCTTGCTTAAGGTGTTGATCGTGGGATCATCACGTCGCCTTCGTCCAAGTCACGTCTTGCACCCTATTGGGCTACAAAATAATCATTTGCAAATTCATTAGTCCAATTTGGTTGTGGTGATCATCAAACACCAAAATCCAAAGTAAATAGACCTAGGGTTCATTTTCCTTACAGCCCCCACCCGCACCGGGATGGCCAGGAACGACGTGCCCACGGCGCCCGCGCTGGGAGGAGGGAGGTGCAGGGGAGGCTAGGTCGAGCGCGGTTGCGCCGCACAGCCTCGGGCGTCTCTCTCTCTTCTGCACGACGGGCAACCTCTCGGGATGGTTTGCGAACTTTACGGGTTGATGCTCGAACCGACCCGCAATCGGACTGACCAGATCATCTGATCGCTCGATCCAATGGCTAGCGGGCTAACGGGTGATGTGGCCCTATTCGTTAGCCCGCTTTTGGTGCAGGATTGATTTATAGAGATACCTAAGATTGTGCTTTAGACAAGAAACATCCGCTACTTCATAGATGATTTTCATCCATGGTCAAATCTAACTTTTAGAAGCAACTGACTCTGCCCAAGGGCCCCTAGAAATTTTGAGGTGTAGGGCTGAAACCACCTCTAGAAATAGATTTTTAGAGACATGTATTTCTTGAAAAAGGAGGTATGTCTTGGAACCATTCTTTAGAGGTGGTTTTTTTTTATCAAACCATGTTAGGTTTATTCCCACATCGGTAATTGATGGTGGAGGAGCACAACATATAAGGTGGGGGCAGCCCTCACCTATTAGGCTAGTCTTTTGGGTTGAGTTAGGCCCAAGGCCTGGGTATGTTGTGGGCTCCGGTGGACTTGGGCCTGAGGGGCGCCGACTCGTGGGTATAGCGAGCTAGGCCGGATTCCGCTGCGCACTCTAACAAGCCACACCTAGGAAAAAAAACAAGACAGTGAACGAGGTGTCGATGTGTAAGTGATGAGTGATTATAAAGGAGATAATCAGATGTTTGGTTAAGTGTGTATGGGACTAATCGAGGTGTGAGTTGTGTATGCAACATGTCTCTTGGCTTGTAGATGTGCATGGTGTTGAGCGTGAGACAATCGACTGCAATGGAGAAGGTCAAATAAGAGCCCATGTGTGATGGACCGGCAACGGTGAAGGACAGACGCGAAGGCTTGGACCGAGGGACGGAGGGCCGGAGGATGGACTGGGGACGGCTAGCACTAGAACTTCAATAGCAAGCAAGTGAAGGGTGGTGATGAAGACGATGTTGACCAAAGTCAAGGCGGGTGCGCAAGCACTTGGTGATCCATAGGTCGAGGACGAGCAGGACACGTGTCGATATTGTGGAGAAGGCATAGGGGCTATGCAACTCCATTGGTTTGGTGGTTTTGGCCTCAAAACCGCGAACGACACAGGTTTGTCGGTTTGGGCCTCAAAACCAGTCAGTGGTAGATCAAAGGACAAGTGGCAGCATCATGAAGCATGTGTTGAGGTGAAGCAAAGTCATGAAGACGTTGGGACTGTCGGATGCGCGATGAAAGAGTTGGATGGTTTTGCCCCTCGGGTGTGTATCCATAGTAGGGGTGATTTAGTAATCACTCATGGCACTATATATTAGATGTGGCTGGTGTTAGTGGTATCTTTACAACCCTAATTTCATTTCTATAAGCTTAGCCAAGTGCTTAAGGAGAAAGAGAGAGGAGTAGAGAGAGTTGGGCACCTCTTGCTCTAATTTCTTCACTTTTTAGTGGGAGGGTGAAGAGAGGTGGTTAGCCATGCTCTCGTACATGATATTGTGATGCAATCCATTGCTTTGAATCCAAGTCAATTTCGTTCTCTCCCAACTGTTCTTGCGTTTTTCCTTTTTTGAATTGTCAAGCTATTAGGTCACGGCTTGGGCTAGTTAATTCTAGTTTGTAAGGGTTTTTGGTCAGGCCTCATCCTTCTGATTTTGTTATCATGGTAAACTTTTTGTTTCATTCAACCCCTCATGGCTCAGGCCGGAGTGAGGTGGTGGTGTTCATGTAAGGGGCCGATTCTTTTTTCCTCCCTATAATACAAAGATGTGCAGCTGTGCATTCGAGAAAAAAAAGAATTGTCAAGCTATTTTCATGGAATTTTGTTCTTCGGTTTTTGACTGCGATTTGGGGGCAGATTTTTGGGGAAAATCAGTGCTAGGACATGTGGGAAGATATTTTGGTCATCAATGCATTGAATCCTTCACGAGCACTTTCGATTTTGAGTTTTCCCTAAATTTCCCACCTCTTAGGTTTTCTTGATTTTCTGAATTTCGTGAAAAGTTTCAGTTTCCTTCTATGGTTCTGTTTGGTTTATAGTCTAACCAAAATGATGTGAGGTTGTCATTCAATTTTCAGTTCAGTTGGTATTCTGCTCAGTTGGCAATCTAAATATATGGTGATTGTGTGTGCTGCTCTGTTGGCAATCTAAATACTGCATAGTTGTGTTTTTCATAGTAGTGGCTCATCAACTGCAATACAGTTGAGAACTTCAACATCAGCTCAGTCCTTTTCTTTCTTATTTTTTTGAACTCAGTCTGATTGTGATCTCTTTGTTGCATAAGTTCTTCAGTTCAGTCTGGCTCTGTCTGTGCTTTGTGTCAGTTCAGTAATTTTCGTTGGATCTTAAGTTTCTTTTTTCTGCAGATTGATCTACTCTAGTTTTCTGCAGAGACAAATTTTTTTGGGAGGGATACACTGCGGTTTTCAGTTGTCAGTAGCAGCTACAGGTTGACTTCAGTGAGTGAAATTCTGTACTGCAGTTTGATTCAGTTTTCAGAAACGCAGTTCAGTCACCCGGTAGTAGCAAATATTCAGAGTTTCAGTTTCTGAATATTATGATGTTTGTGCAATTCGGATGGTGCAGCAGCATGCCTTAAATTTGTGAAGTACTGAAGTGTCACTTTCATGCAACAATCAATACACTATTCAAGTAATTTGAAGAATTAGTTTATTCCTAATTCATGATCAAGTGAACATGTATCTGCACTTTGCTGCTGAATTTTTGTGAGCTGGTCTGTCATAGTTTACAGCAAGTCCTTGAGAACTTTGTGAATTGTAGTTTTGCTTCCACGCTGTTTTGAGAAATTCCTAATTGTTTCTAGGATCAACATATCACTAGCTGACGTGTGTGTGACCTTGACAATTAGAAGAGATGCATGTTGGATTATAATCGGGATCTAGACCAACTTCTTCTCGGTGAAGAATTTAAATCGGCTACCATTCACCTCCCCTGTGATCATTTTCGGTCCTTCAAAGACACCTCAAAAAACATTTTCTATAGTAGTAATCACACATGCTCTTACTTATCACGAAATCCTTACTCTTTTATGGATTTATATATACGTGGTCACTCTTATACTTTCTAGCGCCGGCTGCACGAAACAACCGGTTCTGGCGCTGCACTGCTAGGAGCAGAGCACCTGCTGGTGGATACTGCAGCATCGGCGCTCCCTGCACCTTTTTTTTTCAGAAATCAGCAGGGGTTTTGTTAGTATATATCATAATATAAGATAAGAAGCAAGCAGAGTTTGCAAGATTTTTTTTCCCGAATGGACGACAAAGCTATGCTGCGATTTTATTAAGCAAAGAAAATAAAAAGACAAGTGTCAACCTAGTCTTTTTAATGAAAACCAGGCCCGAAAACCACACCACTGGGAGAGTGCGCCACTCATCATGCACACAACTCTGAACAACTATCAATTTCACGCCACTACTTGCTCAAACCTAAGTCAACTTGGTTGTAATGGCTCAACTAGTAGCTCAACTGCACTAACATCTCTGGCTAACAACTAAAGCAACTCAGAACACCTATAACCAACTAGCACAACAACTTTCTCTGGCAACTAACACCAACCACAACTAACAAACTTGACACGTTGCTGAACACCACTGAGCATCATTCGGTCAAAAAAACACCACTGAGCACAACTAACAAACTTGACGTGTTGACGAGCACCACCACCAACACAGCTTGGAGCACCACAATGGCGACAAGAAGAGTGCAACAACAGGGCTGGAAAAAAAATCCTAGCAATGCCTTCAGGAAGGAAACGACGTCAAAAGCACTGACAATGTAAGGTGGATTGCAAGAGTTTATTACACACTACAAAAAGAAATATTAAAGGCACAGAGATTTTCTAATCTATCCATGGGTGTCCATAGACAGTTGCATTGCCTTTCTACGGCGATCTCTCCTGTTTGGCTAAACATCATGACTGCAGGGTGGTGAAGGTGAACCCATGGAAACATGGGCGCAAAACGGAATTATAGCTGGGGACCGCCGAGCCATCCCTGCACCGACGGATGTGCCCCCTTGCCACAAGCATGCTAGGCAGGGGGCTTGTTGCACGACGGGGTAAACTGCCACTGATGTTGGCTTCATTCCGGCCCTAAACGTCGACATTGCCTGCAAGCAAGCATTAAGCCAAAATAGATGATAGTCATATATGCTGTTACGATCTAGTTGCACAAATCAGCTAATCTTAACAAGTCTCAAGTTCCTTTTTGTTTTACAAAAATCTAAAAGTTCTTGATGGTCGAATGATGTAATCATCATGCATGTATATACTGCAGTCTGACGACGCCTGCACTTCCTGATTGATGATAACTGACGAAAAATTGAAGTTATGCGCGTTCATTGTTCAGACCTGAATGTGCTGTTGCAGTGACTTCATGTACCGGATGGTTTGGTCCAGAGTTGAAGCTAGGTTGCTCTAAAATGTTATAGAGTAGACATCATACCATTTAATTATGAGTTTATGACCAAAGTAGAGTACAATTTGTGGTGTGCTAGTGTATATACAGTAAAAACTCTGATGAAGGTCACAAGATGGCATATCCCCTTGTTATTACTATCATCATCAGTCAAAGTTGTCCGATCAACATATATAACACTAGTATCATTTACTTGTAGTAGTCCTAGTATTGTTCTTACGTTGTCGCATCCTGGAACGAGCTGCTGCAGGGTCTTCAACTTCTCCTTTATCTTCCACCGTCTTCTATGCATATGCAAATTAAATGCACACATGCATGCAGCATGCTACGTGAGTGAAAGTTAAATTAAGCAACAGTAGTTTATATATAGATTATAGAGAGCAAATTAAGTTGATACACGTACACACACACACTGACACACCACACACATGCACCTTCTCTGTCAGGCTGTGTGCTTCAGCGTGGTGATGAGACCTCCTCCCTCCCGTTGATGATGTTTTCCTCTTCTCCTGTCAGACGAGACGACGCAAACAGCTATCAAAACGACGACTCCGGAGAATACTGAAACTTATCTGTCAGGCAGACGACGACAAGCACACCCAGCTGAGACAGTTAACAAGAACAAGTAATAATTAACTAGTACTTATATGGTTGGTACTGCACCAGCACACGGAGGACTTCCTTCCGTCGTCACACTCACCTGCAGCTTGTGATCCTTCGACTCCTTCCTCGACGGCACCATCTGATCATCATCCACCCAAGCGCGTCTTCCGGCAACGACGTCGGCATCATCACCGCCGCCAGCGAACTCCTGGCCGCAGACGATCGGGAAGAGCCACGACGCCATCTCGGCCTCGGATGGCGGTGGTGCCAGAATCTCGGGTACGGGTACCACCGCGACTGCCCGCGACGACAAGGTGGGGTTGCAGCAGCTGGGCTGCCCCTCCATGATGCCGCCGCCGCCGGCTACGGCGCCGGCTCCTCGCCACACCAGCTCAAAGAGATCATCACTGCGATCGATTAAGACACACGTCATATATAATTAAGAAAGCGCAAGTAATCTTTGCATTAATTTTTCTCCGACATCTATATATGCCTAGCCTAGCTGGCCCGCTGTGCATGCTATGATCAGTTTCAGCCAAGAGAAGAATTTGCAGAATGTTAGCTAGAACGTAACATGCGGCTAGCTAGCGTGGCTAGGATAATATATATAATAAATGGGATATAGTGCGTGCGTGGATATATGCATGACGACTGTGGGGCTCCTAGCCGCACACGTACGACGAGGAGTGGCGATCACCGAACAAGCCGAGGAAGTCTTCTGCGCCACCGCTGCCGAGGTCTGTGGAGCAGTGGCACCAAGCAGAACCGGAGTCCTGCTGGCAGCTCATCGTCATCCATGGAGACCCGAAAATGAGGAAATGGCAAAGTGACAAACGAATGCGCCGGCCACGCGTCATATATACATAAAGCATGAACACGTTCATCACAGCAGGGTCACCCATGTAACACAGAGTCCTTACACAAAAACTTTCATACACCGGAAGCCTGGAACTGACGGCAGATATAGGCGGCTGACATCTCACCCGCGAGAACCTCCGCACCCCAAGCGGCGGCGTTACCTGGGGTAAGGATGTCGCTGTCGGACTTCCCCGGCGTATAACCCCGGCCAACGACATCAAGATTGACGTCACCACAGCGCGAGCCTACCGACATCAAGGCAGCAAAACGACAAACGGATGCGTCAATCAACCGACAAAAGTCATGACGTGTCGGAATGAGCACGTTGAAAATGACACTCTGTCAGCGTGCCCGTTCTCGAACAACAACGTCGATCAACGCAAACCAGCCAACACAGCCTGCACGCGGGGATTGCACTATAGTACATCGCGTACTTATGTGCATCAAAGGGCCACACAAAGCCGAATCCTCAGAGCCAGATCCAGGCAAGGCCATACACCCGCGCGAAAGCGAGGGAAGGAAAGTGTCCTTGCAACCCGAAGAAAGGAGAACGAAGAAAGGCTTTATGCCGCCGGACCTACCCTACCGACACCTCGATCACGAAAACGGAGTTGCACTAGGTCAAGTCCCATGGGTCGATCCCCGGGCGGGGCCACACGACTATGGCATTCGAACAATCAGATAGGTGGCGGTCATGGCAAGACGGCGGTGCGCAAAGGAAATAAAATCAAAGAACACGAGCCGAAAAGAACCCTTTTATTTATTTCTAAGACCCTAGGTACATCCTAAGGCTCTTAACTACCGCCGTGGAGGATATCCTTCACATTCACGGCAGCCACGACGGCAGCCGAAGCGGCGGCGAAGTCGTTGACCAGCTCCGCCCACTTCTCCTGCTCGACGTGCTCCAGAAACCCGGGTGCCACCCAGCGGAGGTCCAGCCCGACCCGCAGCTGCATGGCGACAAGGGCAACATCGGCCCCTTGCCGGATTCTTGCCACCACCGCCCGCTCACGGTCCTCCAATACGATGAACTCCCAGAGGCGAGCCGCCTTTGCCTCATGACGGGAAGCCGCCAATTGCTCCTCCAGCGCTGGCAGCAAGATGACACGAAGATCAGAAGCTATGGACATCACTCAAGACATCAAGACGAAGGAGACCCTTACCCATGATGCGGGCCTGGGCGTCGGTGGTCGCCACCTGTGCGACGACGATCTCACTCTCTGAGGCGACGAGGGCGACCTTGGCGGCATCAAGGCTGAGCTCTAGTCGCCTCGCCTCATAGGCGGCCATAGAGTACCGCCGGTGACTTCATCCGCCTCGTGGATGAGTCGGTGGAACTCTCGACGGTCGCCCGAAGACGAGTTCGGTCCCGCCGCCGGTGAGGTCATGACATGGGCAGCACCTGCGGCTCCTCGTGATGCAGCATGGGAAACAGCCCTGGGGAGCACACACGGTCAACATAGGTCAGCCTCAAACTCAAGAATCATTTGAATACTCACCCCCGTTCGCACAGCAGAGCTCGGAGACGCGGCTACATACCACTAGCCTCCGGTGACTCCTCCCGTGGCTGCTTGTCGCGATCCATTCCGATTGACAAAGAAGGGACTACGAGCGCGCAAGAGCAAGAACAAGGAAGTGGCGGAGCAGGCAACTCAAAACAAATGCCTCCCTCGCCGTACCACTCTAGCATATTTATAGCCACTGTGGACACTTAAGACGCACGCACGCACACTCACATTTACTAACTGCTTGGGGAATCTCGAAGAGCAGGTGAAGCGATCGAAGGGAAGGCGGAGCGACAGTTGCCCATGCAGCGGCGTGAACTAAGTAAGCCTTGCGCATTCCCACTCTTTCCATATCATTTCAATTTACGCGCCCGCATTTCGCGGCGCATGACTGCTCATGAGTGGGCACAATTATGCCACGACATGACCGGGGAGGCCAACCGCCCCCTGAGATCGTGCGCAGAATGACCCACCGCGTCTACAACCTCGTGTCGTACCTAGGAAACCTTCTCTTGGGCCGACCCTTAGACGGGTTCGAGGCCACGAAAGAGGTAGGGGCAGGACGATATGGGACCCGACGGCTCTTATAGGTGGTGCGGAAACTCACGACCATCTCCTCCTGTGTTCAAGTCATTCGCTTCGAAGTCACCCAGGATGACCCCCTCTATGGGGGAGGCATCTTGCCCTCTGGCCGCTGCGGAGGCAGTTGGGGACTGACAGGCTTGATGACCAATGATCTATGGAACGTCTCTCGACGGGGCACAGTCGAACTCCACGTCGATTAGGGAGGAGATCAGGTCCCACTCGAATTACCCATTGACCTAGATGAGGCGCACCGCTCCGACTGCGTGGTTACAATGGACAAGCCTCTTCCCGCGTGGGGCGAAACCAAATGTGCCAGTAACCGGGCATTACGACCTCTCGGGGTCAAAAAGGACGTCACAGAGAAAGGAGTCGGGTCCATGCGACCCCACTAAGGATTGTGGCCAGGCCACGATCGGCTCCTCCTCACGTCCTAGGTCGCTGACCCATTATCGTCCTAGAATCTCACGAACCAGTGGAGGCTGGCAGCCCCACTATGAGAGATTGACCAGATCAATGGCTAAAGGACTCACAAAATCACCTCTGCAAATAAGGTGCTTAAACTCACATGGATCACACCCCGATTACGCATGACAAGGGATGCTTTAAACCCAACCGGTAATCCTCGGCTGACGAGGGCATCCCGTGTAACACCCCAGTGCTAAGCTTTGCATTTGGCACCTGCATTTCATGAGCACAAGCATCATCCAAGCATTCATGAACATGAGAATATGAAATTCCATCTCATTCTTAAACCTTATCACATGAAATGTTGATTTTATATATATGCTTATGCTTGCAATCATATATGACCAATGTATGAAATGGTTGTAAGGGCACCAATATACCTTAGACACATCTAGAATGGTGAATGGAACAACTATTGTATTCATGGCATGGACCAATTTTGCTTCTAAGTGTTGGTGTACTTTGAAATGTCATTTTCATGATGCTAGTTTGACCAAAGTTGAACAGTAGCTTAGAGTGTTTGCATGGCTGTGTGAACTAAATAAAAGTTGTAGTTCACATCAAGGGTAACAAACTTTATTTAAGGGTCATGAGCTGAATCAGTGTCTAACTTAGTCAAATAGGGCTCACAAAAATCAACAAAATGTTGTTTTGAAACTTAGGAAATTTTGCTAAGTCATGTGCTGACTACAGTTTCAAAGTACTCTACTTTGGAGCTTTGTAGTTTGAAAACCGTTGGGTTAGGCCAAACTACTTTAAGCATTTTTGTAGTACTCACTTAGCTCTACAAATTTGATTAAGGAAGTTTTCAAAAATTCACCATGGATTAGGAGTTATAGAGTCAGGTTCAATGGCGTCTGAATCGGCGTCGCACGCGTGTTGTGGCTGACCGGCGTAGGCCGCGCGCGCTGCGTGGTGGCCGTACACCAGTGCCGGCTCCATCGGTCAGGCCGACGTGGGCAACAAAGCCGCGCGACGCCGCTGCCCTCCCTCGCTCGCCCACATTCGCGCTCCTCTGCCTCACTTCGCCTCTCTCTCGCCGCGCCAGAGCAAAGCTGCCACGCACCGAGCCATCACCACCGAGCTTCGCCGAGCTCGCACGCCACCATCGCAGCAACATCCCCGATAGCTCGCGCACACCGCTCGACCATTTCCCCCTCCACCTCGCCGACCACCCATCGCCTTAGTCTGAGCCAAGGTAAATGCCTAAGGGCAAGTCCGCCATTGCCACACCCTCACTGGAGTGCCGCTGAGATTGCACTCACTGTGGTCGTGCTCCACTGAGCCATCTCGCTCACACGGTCCTATTGTTAGGGATAGTCTAGGGTTATGGTTGGGTCACGCCGCTTGCCGTTGAGCCAACGCCAGCACACCGACGCCGAAACGCCACTGCGCACCACCGTGCTCGTGCCGCCGTGTAGCCATGCACACGGCCAAGTTTCGCCGCCGCTCCACCCTGACCTAATCCATGCCGTCGCCGGGGACGGCCGGAGCACCACCATGCACCGCCGCTGAGCAGCCATGCTCGCCAGCAAGCTAGCTTCGGTGATCCTCCGAGCAAACCTAGGGTACCTATAGATGCAGAATAGGATGGGGAACACGTTGGTGCCGACCTCGTCGCCGGTGACCTCGCCGTCGGTGAGTTCTCACCGGTCAAAGCTAGCCCCTACCTCTATCTCTCTATCGTGTGGGGTCAGTTTACCCGTGGGGCCTAGTCGTCAGCGCCTCTGTGGTGTATACGTCGGGTGCACCTAGCATTTAGGGCTTAGTTGTTTTTGAATTATTTTCATAGATTTGAATACAAACTTCAAAAATTCATATCTAGAGCTAG